ATCATTCATTCAAAAATTATAACATAAAAATGTTATAAAATCACTACAAAATAGCCATTTTGTTTTGAACACTTCTGGTGTCTTATCAAGTGATGGTGTTGAATGTAGAATAAAGGGTTTTAAGACACCAGAAGTGTTGAATCAAAATGGCTATTTTTGTAGTGATTTTATAATGGTTTTATGTTATAATTTTCAAATAAATAATAATATTTGCTCTGCTCTGTATTGAGCACTCTTTTAAGAATAGTATTTGTTGGTTATTGGAATTTATTCCATATACACCAATCCTATACTTGGAGATATATATATGTAAGCAGATATATGGATATAGATTCTGAGTGTTGACTTCAATGTTCACTTATATATGAGAGAGACAGAGAGATTGTAAATATTAAAATCTGTTCTTTATATTATATAAAAAAGTGATGAAAAAATGTTCTTTTGAATATTTTTATGTTTTTTTTATTTAGGTTGATATGTGGGAGTAAAATAAAGTTTTGAGGAAATCACAAAATTATATACATTAAGTTCTTCTAAAGCTGTGGAGAAGGGGAAGTGAAAAGGCAGTGCTAATGGTAAAAAGCGCATAACAATTGACAGGTAAATTTGTATGCAGGTCGTCCATAAAGTAAGTGATGAGGGTTTTATTGTTGAGTGAAACAGGATCAAACCAAATGGCAAAATATTGTCAGCCTCCATTGATCAAACCTTGTGGAAACTGATCGGGAAATGATCTTGATCTGAGTTTGGATTTTGTTAGAATTTTGAGTCTTGGTCTTAGAAGAAATAAATGGAATTCTTTGAGAGTTATAAATGGAATAAGAATGATCTTGAACAAAAAATTAACATCCTATACCAGGTGTTCCAAGAAATAGAACTCAAGATAAACCTTTCCAAAACAAAATGATTTGGTATTAGAATAAAAGCAGTGATGTAAATCCATCATAAATATTCAGGATGTGGAATTAGTAAATACTAAATACTTCAGATACCTTTGTGTAGGGATCAGTTAAAACAAGTATAAGAGAAAAGGAAATTGAACATAGAATAGGCTGCACCAGAGGTAGTTCCCCTCCCCCGCACGAAAACACTGCAAATTGCTACAAAACCAAAACATCAACCTGAAATCTTTAGTTATGTTTTTAAATAACCTTTTCAGATAAAGACTTTCATATGGATGTCATGCATGGCACCAAACCCGTTTAGATATATTGAAGCTGTCAGCTGTATACAACCATTTTCTAAGATCAATGGTTAGAAATAACTTGAGTGAAACCTGAGGGTCATGGTAAAGATCATCCTTCTTTGAACATTATGAACTTATGCTACATAATCATAGTGAACTTGACCAAATAATAGAAACCACATCACTTGAGGACTACCAACAGTGGCAACAACTAAAATGGATCGCACATGCAACTCGAAGAAAAAATGTTGATGTTTCAGACTATTTCAAACAAAAGATTAGGAATTAAACTCCCATCAATACTGGAATGAGCAATAACAGAAAATAAGAAAAATTGTCTTAAGAGAAAGATTTTATAAATCTCAACTGAAAGCAGTACTGGCTGTGGTCAAAAAAATGCCAAATGTTTCCTTGTAGGGAAATAGCTGGTATTATTATTATTATTACCATTTGAGATAAGTAGAATAGATACTACACTTTGATCTTGAGTAGTGCTGGCTGCAATATTTAATCTTTGTAAAGAAACGGCTAATCCTACCACAACCATCTACAGATCATACAGGGTGATTGTAAAATAACTTCCTATTTTATGTATGATGGACTCTCCCATCTAACTATAATTTGTACAAGATGGAAGAGTCCATTATACATATATTAAGGAGTTACTTTTCAATCACTAGTTTATTTAAATTTGACTTCCAACAGGAATCTCTAACTTTGAAGTTTCTTTCATGCTTAATATAAGTAAGTTTCTCAGTCAGAAATTTATTCCCATGTGTTGGTCATGAGCTATTGAAAGTGAGTGACTCTTACTGGATGCTTCACAAACGTAGCCTTGTGCCAGGTTACACTTGGAAGTTAATACATTATCAATGATACCAGTAACAATGCAGTGCTTAGTAATTGAATTTTTGTCATATGCACATTGGATTGTGTTGATTTTTTGTTAATACTTTATCATCTAGTATGCGTACACTGAATTTTTATTGAAAAATGAAGTGTCTTTGAAATAAACATCTGCAATTTGGAGACTACCAACATAAAGCAAGTACAAAAATTTAAATATTGAATTATTAACATTAGAAAAGAGTACAGAACTATTATGTAATATCAGTCATCCTATATGACAGTGAATACAGAAAATCTCACAGATGAAGAAGAGATTTGAAGCAATAGAATTGTGGCTCTACAGAAGGATGTTGAGAATACCATGGACTGAACATGTGAGCAGTGACTTAAGTATTAAGGAAAATGGAAACAAATAGGACACTTAGAATTAAAAAGAGGCAATTTAAATTTCTAGGGTATATAATGAGTAAAGAGGGCTTGGAGAATTTGACACTCACAGTTCATATTGAAGACAAGAAGAAATCGGCAAATAACCTACCTATGTAAAGGGTGGCTGAACAGGGATTAGGAGGGATAACGAAAATGTAAAAATTCAGATAGAACTAAAAATAGATATGTAAAAAGGACAATATGAATAAAGACAAAAGGAAAGTTATCTCAGCCGACACATTTCATTCTCTGTTATTTTTGTTTATAAATACTTGTCGCAAAATAAAATCCTAACATTTGCTTTGATAAAGTCTGAGAAAACAAAACGAATCGGTGAAGATAAGTTTTCCTTTTGTGTTTATTCACATATATGTAAAGGGAAGTAATTTAGATGCTGAGTATAAAAGCGCAAGAGTTACCTCCCTTTAGCTTTTGAAGTAACATTTTTCTAGGTCAAATATAGCAATAAGCTTCATCGATTCACGCTACTAATGGTCTTGGACAGGGGTGGACAAACTTTTCAGTGCAACGGCCATGTTCAAAATTTCACAATTTTATTGGGCCGCATAGTATATTAACCCAAAATAATTAATATTTAAAATAGATAAAAAGGCTTTTAAAGAAAAAATGCAATTAATTTTTTTCAAAGACAAAGTAAATCAATTTAAAGCATTTAAAAGATGAAATAACTTTTTTTAAGAAAAATATTTTTAGTGATTAATATTATAAAGTAGAAAACATTTATTTGAAAAACAAAATTAACTTTTAAAGTAGAAACTTCAAATAAAACAAATTAACTAAAGAAAAAATAATTTAGATTTTAAAGTAAAAACTTCACATGAAAGAGATTTATTTGAAAAACAAAATAATTCAGTTTAAAGAAAAAATGTTATTGAGATTTTGAAGCAGTAACTTCACATGAAAGATTTATTTGAAAAACAAAGTATCACAGCAACAGATGGATCACAATGACTCACTGAGAATAATGTATCTGACTGCAATCATTTACCAGTTTGTTAAAATTAGGTATCAAATTATTTGTAACAATTATTTGGCATTGCTTGGTAAATTAATTTCTCTTTCAAATTTACTAACATTTGGTAGGCCACATGAATTTTTTTGGTGGGCCGCATGTGGCCCAAAGGCCGTAGTTTTCCCATCCCTGCTCTAGGTCTTCATTTCATATCCTAGTACTATGTCATACAAAAAATTCTTGAGGAAATAATTGTTAGAAAAGCAAATTAATTTCTACAGTTTTTATTGTAAATAATTGTCATAGTCCACATTTCCCAACCATGATAGTTTAAGTGCCTATGCCACCTTGTAGGTCATGAATTATTTTCCACTTTACAATCCCTTTCCCACAGACAAAATTTTGCCATCGTTTTTACTATGTTGCTATTTTCATGCCAAATATTCTGACATGTAGGTTCAAAATCTAAGAAATAATTGCACTAGTTCAAATTTTTACAGCTAAGGTGTCACACACACACTTGGAAGAATTTCATCCCTATTCCCTTTGTATGTCATGAGTCAAAAGGAAGTTCCATTCAGACAACTTCTGAGGAATTGTTACTTTGGGGAAGCACCCTCTCAGGAGTCTGTTACACAATCAATGCAATCTTAAACTCTTCAAATCTAAAGCCAATCATTATCAATCCTATATATCCTCATAAAAACTTCAATTTCAGCAACAACCAAAAATGGTACTCAAGAAAACTTAAGAGAATGTGCTGTCTGGCTTTAAAAACAAAATAGAACCTTGCTTTATTGTAACACTCTTCATAGTCAAACTGTAAAATCATGAATGTTCAAAATCTGCTTGTGGTAGACAAAATAAATACTGTTTAAAATAAACAGGGTATCTACTCAAATATGGATATCCACTAAAAATAATGTTTGAAGTAATAATATGTCAGATTAAAAAATAAAATCTATTAATTTAGAAATAACAACAGTATATGTCTAGAAAAAAGGAAATCAAGTTGGCTACAACTGAAAGAGAAAAGGTTAAAGAGTGAGTGTAAAGTGGGGAAAAAAACCCGAAAAGGACAAATAACTACAACATTGTACATGTACACACATACAGACTCCTGGGTACGAATGCACACATATGCTGAAAAATAACTTGCACCAATGAATAGTGCACATAAAAAAGAAAAATCGAGAAGTATAAGCAGTCAATTGCTACTACCCCCGTGACGATTGGATGGAGTGATTCCTAGAGCGTCTATCTACGCTACAAAATTGTGGAGTCTGTCTGCTGAAGGTAGCATCAATCAGCTAAGTGACAACCCTTTAACTTGTATCAATTAAGATACCCATTTTTAACTAACAAGTTTCACTTTCATCATTTGATTATTTAGAATGCTACTGCTTTTGATTAAAGTCTTGTGCTCCAATAAATAAAAAAGGGAGAATCCTAAAGTTTTGTTTTTTCTTCTATTACATTTTTTATTATTTATTTCCTTAATTCATCCTCTAAAAGAGTTTTAAAATGTTGAATTTTTTTACTTTTTCTTAACTGAATATTCAGAAATCGTGATGGTTTTAAGAAGATTGATAGCCGCCCAGAATCAACGATCGTTTTGGAAACAGACATTGATGTCAATGCTCTTTTCAATTTTCTTCTCAATTGGAAATCCTGTTTTGCAGCTGCCGGTCCACAGTTTCGGATTCCTCCTACCATTTTGTCTCCTTCTGGTTTCAAAGGAGCTGTCTTGAAGTCGATGAAAGTAAGTCAAATTTCATAATTAAAGAAATCCCAAACAGTTTCTCTGTGGGCAAGGCCTAGAATATACTGATTACATTTATGTATAGCAGCTTGGATTGAGGAATCTGAGAGCCAAGTTTGAATTCCATTAGAATCCATTACATTCACTTACATGCTAATATCCTTGGGAAAGGTATGAATCCTCTTCTTCTCCCCCCAGCAAAATTTCAGGTTTTCTTTCTGACTTTTCCATTATTCTACCAATCACTTTACTTTAGTTATTTTCTGGATTAACAGAGTAAAAGTTTCTAGCTGTAAGGAAAAAGAAAATATCTAATTATTAAACCATTAACTGATGGAAATTTCAGTAATTTTGTTTCTCTGACTCGAGTTTTTGAAAATGGCCACTTGGCTGCTCTTGACACATTTAATATATTTACTGCCTAATTTTCCAGTTTTTTAAATTCAAATATTGTTTTAGCAAGTTTCAGTACACACAGTCTCCATTGGAAATTAAGGAAAAGAGGACTGCCAGTGGTCAGGAATTAAAGCGAGCATTAATGACAAAATTATAAGTTAAAAATTTTAAGCTAATGATTTTACTATGAAAAATGCATCATAGATTAATACACAAGAGAAATGCTTTTGTAGGTTATTATACAAGAAAAATATAGGAATTAAGAAGAAAGGGATTGTTGATAATTAGAAATTAATATAAGTGTTACTGACAGACAAAATTAGGACTTTATACACACACGCACAAATATATAATTTCTTATTGCTATGACTGTTATATTTATGGGTACATGTGTTTCAATAGACATCTGTTTTTAAACATGTATACCCACTTCATATGATTTTCGCATAAGAAATGTTGGATTAAAAAAATCCATTAATTGGATACTTATATTGTAGTCTCATTTTAAATGGTGTAAAGAATCTATTCTCAGTTTAAAGAATATATTTTTCCTTTAAACCAAATCAGACAATTTGTTTTTCTCACAAACTTTATAAAACTTCATGTTTAAAAATGAAAACTTATTCCTTAAAAAAAAATTCTCTAAATGCCTGTGAATTTAATTCAATCTGATTTTATTTTTCGTTTTCTACTAATTTTTTTGTTTTTATTTTTTAACAACCATTTTTAAGAATAACAGCGAAAAGTGAAACAAAATGTTCAACTAAAGAAATAACTCTGCTTTAAAATGTTGTACCAATGTATTTGCTTTCACTGTGTTTTCAATAATAAGGATTTGCGAAAATGCACAGGATACATATGCTAAGTTCAAACAATTTATCTTGTTAAAAATATTCCAACATTAACATTTTATTTTTCGTAATTTAAAATTACTATGACAGCCATTTGCTTAAAACATTTTTCTTCTGAAAAAGAAAATTTGTAACTAAGAAACTGCACTGAACCATTCCATTTCTTAAAGAATTCATTCTTGAAAATGTCTCTTTTGAGAGAGAGGAATTAAAAAAAAACTGACTGAATTTAGTAAAGCTGATGTAATTAATACAATGAAAGTCATTTCAGACTGAATGCTCGGTTTCTTCATCTTGAGAACAACATAACATTACAATCAATCAGTATTACTTGTAATTGATATATTTTGACTGAGAAAAAAAAATGACTGTTTCATTAATTTACTGCTACTGTCATCCACTCATTTGTAATGTTACAAATGACATGTAATTTTTTTTCTTTAAATGATGACTCTGTCCAAAGCAGTAACCAGATGAGACATGGCAAACAAAAACAAATTTATCTTGATCAAATGACAAGTAAATTATTGCTTTATGACGGTGAATCTGTCTATTGCCTGACATGCTGAATTTTGATCTGGAATTTTCACTATATAATGTTTGCTTGATGACATCTATGAAGAAGCATTGGATTAAATGTTCTCAAAATAGTTTCTGTTGGAAAATATTTGCTGTAAATACTTTTTTCCAACGTTAAGCAATAGACTTACTGTCATATCTGATTATAAACATGAATATGTGATCAAATTTTCTTCAATAACAATTATTTCTTCTTTTTTTTTTTTTAAGGCAAAAAAATTCCATGCATTTTGTAAATTAAAATAATTTGACCAGCTTAGTTTTTAATTTTTTTAAGCACAGTTAATCTTACTTGAACCTAGTCATACTTAGCAAGTTGTCATGGTTGAGCCTTATTTCATGCTTAGGATAGAAGCCTAGTGAGAGTTGGAAATTTCATTTATTTTTCATGAGTTTTGCTAAAAAATTATCTGAGTTTTGTCATGCTTATAATCTTCATGCTCATAAGAAAATATTAGCTTCATTTCAGGCTGAAGTCACTTAATGATAAAATTATATTGTCAGTCATTCTATTTTGTATAAAATTAAAATTCGATATTTCTTAATATTATTTTCTATTTTTAAAATTTTTCCTTTTTCCTTTTTATCTCTCATCATCATCGGCAATATTTTCTAAATATGTTGCCACATACATTCTATATATATATATATATATATATATATATATATTTAGAGATCATATGAGGATCAAGCAGATCAGTTCCTAGGAAACTGACAGCCCAACAATAGCACATGAGATTTGATTACAGTGGTGATGGTTTCGTGCAGGACCATCCACACTTTTTGAAGGGCCAAATACAGAGGTCTGGTGTACTGTGTGCCACAGGATCTCCAAACGACCCTCCGCAGGTTTTGAATTCAGAGTTGTCCTTCTCCTAGACCATTTGCCATCCAAGGCTATAGAACCCAGTCTGTCATGCTATTTACCCATAGCTGGAGGGAGAACAAGAGGATTCACACCTTTCCCAATTTTAACGTTATTTTTGTTGAATATTTTTGCTAATTGCTTTGTTTCAGGGAAGTGCTTTTCTATTAAGTTTCGGAATGTCCTTCCTATGTTTGTTTTGACGGCTTTGTTGTATGGTGGATTAAACCAGGTGCTATTTCTTTTCTTTTTTGCATTTTTGCATTTTTTATATTATATATATATATATATATATTATATATATATATATATATATATATATATATATATATATATATGATAAAATGAAAAGCTTTGTTTCAACCTTACAAGGGACTTCTGCAGACTAATAATGTTTTTGTTGGTGGAGTTAGTTTTGTATATAACAGGGTGGGGTGTAGAAATACAACAGACACCAGTTATAATTTGACATCAAGAATACTGAAGATCCAAGAATACTTGGTTTTAAATTTAAAAAACATTTTGACATCCAATTTATTTAGATGCATAATTTAACTTCACTGTGCTCAATACATACATACATACACGCGCACACACACACACACATACATACATACATACATATATATATATATATATATATATATAATCTCCAAATTAGAATAATGATACATATATACACATGAAAGCTGCTTGACAGGACAGATACACATGAGACCTGCTTAAGCAATAATTCTGATCCATATTTGATCCCAATTCATATATATCTATATATGTGTGTGGGTGGAAGTGGGGGTGTAATATATACATTTTTATATATCAAAAAAACAAGAATGATAAAAACATAAACAAAAGATAAGGAAAGTAAATTAAATCAGCTGGACTATAAACCCAAGATATATATTAAAATAAAATTAAATTTAAAATTCTCAGTTTCTCATCTCCTTCATGTGCAGGTGTACTCACATAAACATTAGGTTAGTCTGAAGTCCTAAAGAACGAAAAACTTTTACACTTTGTCATAGTTTTCCTTATATATATATATATATATATATATATATATATATATATATATGACATTCTTGGGTCTGTTTGACATGCATTGCTGAAAATCATTGATATTTCACTAATTCTAATCTCCTAAATTTATTACTGATATATCCATTCACCTTTCTCACTGACTTGTTTGTAATGTCCTTGGCATTTTGGAAGATAAGTTTTCCCTGTCAGTGTAAATTTGGTAGGTATTGGATTATTGGAAAAATTTAAACCAACTTGACCAGATTCATTGTTTTCACATCAGTTTTTTTGACCATCTATTTTGTTTGTTTGTCAGGTCAAGCACAGTGAAGTGTTTTTGCCAGAGGAAAAACAGAAAGGACACGTCTTGGAAATTGTTGGTCCCCTCTTGCCCTGTCATGTCAGGGGCTTTGTGAAGCTCTTCTGGCAAACACAGGCCAAAGAGTTTTCCATGGCATTGAATACCCATGAGTCAACATCTCCATTTAATGTTCCAATGGATTTTTCCAAGAATTCAGACAGCCTGAATTTTGATGGTGATGAGGCTCCCAGTTTTCTGGACTTTAAAGCATTGAGGTCAATTACCCAAGTGAAGTGCATGCCTTCAGGATTTACCTGGTCATGATGCTGCTTACAGGTGTGCACACACACACACACACACACACACAGTGTATATACGTGTATAGATATACACATGGTGTATGCACATGTTTAGGCACACATACACACAGTGTATACACGTTTAGATACACACACACACTGGGTGTGTATACACACACACACAAAGTGTGTATACATGCACACACACACACACAAAGTGTGTATACATGCACACACACACACACACACACAAAGTGTATATACATGAATAGATACTGACATATACAAAAGCAGGTGCTGAAAAGTATTTAGCCTCACTCACTTCCCAAAATCAGTATTTCATTGATCTAGAATATAGATTTTGAGAAATGGGCTGGAAACTTTTCAGTATTCCCATTGTATGTGTACATAATCTAAAAAATGAAAATATGCTTATTAAAATGTACATAATGCAATTTCACTCGTGTGTGTGTGTGTGTGTGTGTGTGTGTGTATATATATATATATATATATATATATATATATATATATATATATATATATATATATATATAATGCTAGTTAATAAAAAAAGTGCTAGTTATATAAAACGGGGCTATTAAGTATATATTAATAAATATACATATTATTCCTCACTGATAGCATGACTCGGAGTTTCATGCATAATGCAATCTTCAGGTGCTGAGTGTGTGTGTGTGTGTGTGTGTGTGTGTGTGTGCACGCAAAAAGGTTAGATAGAAAAGATATTATTCTTAATGTTTGGGCATATTCATATATTAATGTTTGGGCATATTTATTTTAGTGTTTCATAAAAATCCCATCACAGAAAACCCAAGTGCGCTTTTATCATATTTTTTATTGTATTTGTTATAAAAATATTCCTGGCTGGACAACTGCCACTATTTTTAATTCTGTAAATTATATATGAATAATTCATTCAATACGATATTTAAAAAATGTTTTCGACATTTATGTTAATTTAAAATTGTAATTTTATATCCATTTTTGTAAACCAATTTTTCCTCCATTTTTAAATATGTAAATTACTTGGAAATTTTTTTCTGTATATCTTTTTTTATTTTTTTTTTGACTTGTTAACACATCTTTTATCTTCACCTTTTATCGTCATCATTTTTTTTTTTTTTCTAAATATTAAATATCCTTTCACTATTTATGTTTGGACTATTGTCCTCATTTTTGGTCATTATGCCCTCCAGCCTTCATCAATCCAAGTAACCTACTGGAAATTTTGAAATGAAACCTTTATTTAATCTACAGGGTAGACTTTCTTGTTCCACTGCCCATGTCTACGGATATTTCATCTAGTTTCTTATTTTTACACCTGCTCTGTTATTGCTCATCCTGTTTCCACTGAGTTCAAGTACACACTGCCCAGCCCAGGGATTGAACCCACAATTACCATGTCACCAAATCCACAAACCAACACTTCATTCTAGTAGGCTATTGTCGCATGTGTATTTGATGACTGGAAGGTACAACAGCCGAAACGGTGTGAAAACAATAACAAAGATGGGGAGAATAGTCTGAATGTAAATAGTGTAAATCGGTTTTCCTTTTCTAAAACTGGCTACCATCCAAACCTAGAGTGTTCAGTTTACTATACTATTTAACCCGTATCTGGAGGGAGAAGAGATGGATTTGTGCCTTTCCTATGAGCACTTGTGTGAAAGTGAATGCAAGTGGGAATTTGATCTTAACACAATTCCACCTTTTGTTCCAATAACCATTACCTGCACACATTTCTGTTTGTTATTTTTTTAATCCTTTTTTAATTTTCCTATTACTGGGATGTTATCTAATTAAATCTCCTTAATGTCATGTGGAGAATTTCCTCGGAGAGCCAAGAGAGCTTGAGTAATGTAGCCTGAGCGAATTGCTAATGAGGCAAACTGTCTGACCATCAGTGCTGGAATGACAAGGTGTATACGTCATTGAGTTGGCAGCGTACTCAATATGCAAATTCTCTGGCTTGGCAAGAATGTATAAAAAGGGGTGTGTATTTGTTGAGTTGTCAGAAGGCTTGCGCATTCAATACAGTTCACGTCGATGCATACTGAACCAGAATCCATTGCAAGTGCGTTTCCAGTGTCCGTGCTACAGGATCTCAGGTTTCCTGATACATGTCACAAGTCTTGAAGATCTCTTTTAAAAAGCTTCTTAATTTTATTCTTGCTTTTCATCATAAGTTTTCATGCCAGAATTGGTTTGGGTGTTGTCACTGAAAGACTCGCTCCTGAAATATTTGATGTGAGTTAAAGGCTTGTTGGGAACTACTACTTTATATATATATATATAGAGAGAGAGAGAGAGAGAGAAAAAAAAATCATCAATTCTCTCTTTCTTGGGTCTGGACAACTCCCACTATTTTTAATTCTGTAAATTATATATGAATAATTCATTCAATACGATATTTAAAAAATGACTTGGATTATTATCTCAAAAAAAAAAATTCTTACAATCTAAAAATATTTTCTGGCTTTAAATAACCTGCAAAGGGTTGATAAGCCATAGAACACAAATCAATAAACTCAAATTTCCTGCTGTCCTATATTGCACATAAATTGAGTAGTGAAAGTTTTTGTTTTTGTATCAAATCTGAAGTTGAATAATTTACCTGCTATATGATCACCAAAGTTGCCCAGACTTCATAAGACTAAAGAGAGCACATATGCTGTAGAAAACCAAAACCTTAGTCGTAATATTTCTATCTTCCCAAACCCAACTAACCAAAATTTTTATAGATTTTTTTGGATGAAAATTGTGATCTTATTTGCCTTTCTGTGACTACGCCTGATTTCAAAGAACTTTGTTCTTTCCTCCACTTTAATCAATTGGTATCATCATTCTCCCAATTATCTTTGTAGATTTTAAAAGCCAAGAGTGACTTGTCCATTGATTCCTTAAGACAAACTTTTGGTATATCTTTGTATCTTTTTGGTTCCCTTACTCGATCAAACCGTATTTGGTTTGATATGTCCTTATTTTCCTCTCTGATCAATTGACTCCATCAATGTGGCCTGTTCTTAATAGCTTTCCGTTTCAATGCTGGGAATGCCATTTCCAAATCTTCTTTGGCATCTTTGACATGTAATGCACTTTGAAGATGCTACATAAGCAGTATTGATGCAATCTTTCCTGGGTCCTGATATGTTTTTGATATGTTGCCCAGACTTCATAAGACTAAAGAGAGCACATATGCTGTAGAAAAGCAAAACCTTAGTCGTAATGTTTCTATCTTCCCAAACCCAACTATCCAGAATTTTTATAGGTTTTTTTGGATGCAAATTGTGATCTCCTCACTTAAAGAAGAAAGGCAATTCAAAGTGATTCCAAGATATGAACATTTGTCCACAATTTTCAATTTAATGTTATGTAAGAAGATCTCGGGCTTAGGATGCAAATTAGTTGGCACAGTTTGATACATAAGCATGGTTTTATCCAAGCTAAACTGAAGCCCAAAAGCATTGCTGGATACATTGAGCTTGATCATTAAGTTCTGCATATCACTGTCTGTACGGCTGACTGAATCACAGTCATCCACATAAAGTGGACCTTCTTATTAGAGTATTGAAAGTTTTTGTTTTTGTAGCAGATCTCCTGAGGTTGAATAATTTACTTGCTATCCTGGCTTATGACCACATCATGTTGAAACATTGGTTCCCATATGATCACCAAAGTTAAGCAATGACAAACCTGGTCAGTACCTGGGTGGGTGGCTGATTGGGAGTACCAGGTGCTGTAAGCTTGTAGTGTAATGGATAATGGCTCAGAATTGTTAATCAGAGAGCCAAGTTCAAATTTATGGTTGGGTTCGTTATATACTCTTAAGAAAGGAATGAATCCACCTCTTCTCCCCCAGCTATGGATTAATTAGTAAAATTTGTATCACAAAACCATTATTATCCCCCCCAAATTCTTACAATCTAAAAATATTTTCTGGCTTTAAATAACCTGCAAAGGATTGATAAGCTGTAGAAAACAAATCAATAAACTCAAATTTCCTGCTGTCCTATATTGCACATAAATTCCTTGGAGGCAATCCTTAAATATGTTTACCAATACAACAATCTCATTGCAGGAATATCTCCCTGTTTGACATGGTTTTCTTACTTATAAAGTTCAATAAGGATGCCTTCTATATTTACACAAGCTTCTATATCATCATGAAATGATTTCACCACGCTGGCAAAATGTGCATGACATCTCATTTTAAGCCAAATGTCTCGTAAAGCCTACCTATTCACAGTATCTGCTGATAAATCAACAAAAGCCTGGATAATTCAAATTCTGCTTGGCATTAATTTCTTTCTTTTTATTTTTTTTTTTTTTTTTTGTGTTTCCCTGGCAGTAAAAATCATGTCAGCATTTCCTCTTTTTCTCAAAAACTACATTGAGATTTCAGAAGGATATTTAGAGACATACTGATAATCAACCATGAAAAAAGAACACCAGCAAGTACCTTTCCATCAGAAAACAGAAAACTTGAATGTCTAGAAATCTTGAAATCTAAATATTTTGAACATAATTGTATGCCTTCAACTACAGAAAATGAATTCTATGATAAATGGGTATTGCTGGTAATTTTTATATATATATATATATATATATATATATATATATATATAAAAAGGAACATTGAAGTCAATACTCAGTCAACTGCCTGTTTCATGCTAGATGCAATCATCTCGCATGAAACAGCCAGTCACCTCTGAGTGTTGACTTCAATGTTCACTTATATATATATATATATATATATATATATATATATATATATTGCTGTTAATTTTATACTTTCATAGAGTTTTGTTTTTGTTTGGGGTGAGATCACTGTTTGCCTATAGCTGGGACCCTAACAGTTGCTACCACCCTGGGGCAGCGTGTATCTGGGAACACCAGCAATTAAGAGGTGGTTCCATGCTCCTCAAAACCTGCAATCTCCTGAATAGAGGCCTTGCTGGTGGATGTAGTTTATGGTCATACCCAGGTCCATTCTGGCTTTAAATAACCTGCAAAAGGTTTGTAGAAAAGGCTGCCCATGTGTAGGTTGGTGACACTACTTCCAATCCAACACTACAATAGCAAAAGGATTTTAACATGCTAGAAATGCTTGTGCAAAATTCAAGTTTTGTGTAACTTGCAGAGCATTGCAAAGAGTCTCCCTAACAAAACCAAGTAATTCAGATATTTGGTTAGAAGGTGTCACATTAGAGTTTCTTTCTCTTAGTCTTTTTCCGGGCAAGGGAATGACTACAGGACTGTAATATTTTAACTTTTCTTTCTCCTTGATGGATTGTCTTCACAGCTCAGGACCTCCATTTACTTGATCTTCCACCCCCCCCTCAAATAATTGGGTTCACTTCTTGCCATCATTTAGTACAGTTGTATATTCTTTTATTTCGTAACCCCTCGAATATAAGAGAGATTAACAGGTGTTACACCTTGCACAAAGGTGAAATGGCACTGGGCAATATAGGGGTGTTCATCTCCATCACGTATTTTATATGCCTGTATACCATGTGTATGCATGCACAAATGCTTATACCTCAAAAATCTGATTGTTGTCAATTTAGAGAACAAACCAAATGTGTTTATTATAAAGTAACCAACAACAACATACAAATAATGACATTAACATTTTCTATAAAAACCAAATACTCATTAACTATAAGCAGGATGAATTTTCCCTTAGCAACATTATAAAAAAAAAATACACAACCTCAACTGACCAGAACAAGAAAATTAAATTAAAATAATAAAAAAAATAAAATTACAGAGAACTAAAATCAATTCTGAATTCACATGTCCCTGTCCTCCTGATCAAACCAAATTCATGAATAATTATATTGGACATGTTACTACATGTCTATGAAGAAGACTCCTGTTACACTTCTCTGACCATAGCTCAATTAGGATTCATTTAAACGCACATGGAAACCTACCAAACTTAATAAAAGTTAATAACAGTTTTCTGAACTACCTCATAGATCACCAAATTAGACTATTTATTTCTAAGGTATTTCAATAGCAACACTAAACATACAGATAAAAACAATAACATTAACATTTTCTATAAAAACCAAATGCACATTAACTATAATCAGGATGAGAAAACATTAGAGACATTATAAAGAAATAGTCAAACAAAACAAAAAAATTAAATTATATATTATAAAAAATTTAAAACAGCTAACATTATCAACAACAGCTTACCTTGAAGATCCAAATTACAGAGAATGTCTTCTGGTGTCTTATCAAGTGATGGTGTTAAATGTAGACCATCACATAAGACACCAGAAGTGTTGAAGCAAAATGGCTATTTTTGCAATGATTTTATAACATTTTTATGTTATAACTTTTGAATAAATGATTATATTTGCTCAATTCTGTATTGAGCACTCTTTTAAGAATAGTATTTGTTGGCTATTGGAATTTATTCCATATACACCTATCTTATAGTTGTGTGTATGTGTGTGTATATATATATATATATATATATATACACACACACACACATACTCTTATCACCAGTCCAAGGAAGACATTTGAATCACTACCACACAAAAAAATTAATTTTTATATGTAGAAATATCCACTCTTTGCTTGAAGAAGGTTGTGAAACCAAAGACGCATTTAGCAGAATTATGGAAAATAGTATATATTATATATTTAAAAATAAAATATCCATATTTCAACCAAAGATGTTTGTGGTTTTTATCCTCTTTTTAAAATATATAATCATTTGAACAGTTTTTACAAACTTTATATCAAGAAAAGAAAACGCTTGTACAAACAAGAAAAATTAAATAAAAAGCTTTTTAATGAAACAATAACCTCTCCTTTTTATATATATATATATATATATATATATAAAAATGTGTTTCTGTTTCATTAAATGTGATAGACAAGGAAATTTTTTTTTTTTATTCAGCTGTTCTAACATTCTTAGGATTTTTCTTTTATGAGGATTTCAATCAATAATCACTACAGACACTTTCTACACAATCTTAGTCCTTGTAAATGGAAAAACTGAATTTAAAAAAAAATGTGTAAAATTTTTTCTTGTCCTTCACATTCAATGAAACCCACAAATGCCACCCAAATGTCAAGTATGATCACCACAAAACACCATTGTAAGATGCAGTTGTACCTTGAACAGGCATAGCCGTTGAAACCGGACAAACATTTAAAACCTCTGGCACAAAATTAGCAGGCATGAAATACACATATTCTTTTGTCATAGGTTTAGTTTTTGTGTATATTTGCATGTTTCTATAGTGCACCGGATGACTTGCATCCTTTTGTAAGGAAAATGACATGAACTGTTAGTATTTAATACTCTTTCATAGTTGGTCAGTACTAATATGACTCAGTTTACCTGTTTTACTCAAGCAAAACCTAAAAACCTATCATTCCTGAATCAGGAAGGTTGACCTTTTCAGATACACAATCATTTGATCATGAATCAGTTGGCACAATCATTTGTGTGTGTTCATTTTTTTTGATTACTTCTGTCATGGAAAAAAGGAAGGATTATCTGCCCTTGAAGTAGTTGAACCTTAGAGAAAAAGATGAAAAACACATGTTCATTCCCAATGTAGACATGGACAATATTTGCTAGCAGAGTGTAGGTTCAATAAAAGTCTGACAACAGAATTTCTTTTGTATTTAATTATGCACTGACATTGTTTTTTTGTTTTTTTTTTTTTTTCTTTTTTTTTATTATGTCCAAGAAAAAAAAAAGATTTAAATTTTAAAAATGTCCTAGTTTTAGAGATTGAAGAATATTACTTGAATGAAAAAATGATTTAAAGATATGACAGGCGTTTACTTATCTTGAGAAAAAGAAAAATGACCCATTTATCTTACCCTAACTGGACATACTAGAGATTATGTTTGGGATTTAACAATGCTGGGTATTTCACACAAAAAATGCTATTACAAAGAAACTGGACATGCTGTTTTTGAAAGACCAAAACACATGCATATTTGGCCTTTAACTTTTGTCATTCATCAGGTATGATTAAAAAAGTTTTGCTAAAATTTGAATATTTATACTATAAACTTAATGTTTTTTAAAAGGAAATTTTTTTTTTTTTTTTTTTTTTTTTTTTTGAAGGCAGTAAATGTGTCTGACAAAAATGAGTGGCAGGCTTGTGCTATCTCTTCAGATTTGGTTTGGTTTGGTTTTTTTTTTTACAGCATATCAACCTCAATGGGTTATTTAATACCAACAAGATTTTTATGCTGTTAATATTTTTTTCTTCAAAAATTTATTGCTGGTAATTATTTTTTACAATAATGTATTGCTGGTACTAAAACCTATTTTCACACTTTCATAGTGTTTTGACCCCAGTTTGGGGTGTTAACTATCTGCCCATAGTTGGGACCCTAACAGATGCTACCACCCCAGCTCAGAGTGGACTTGGGAACACCTGCAATTAAGAGGTGGTTCCATGCTCCACAAAACTTCCTGACCAGAGGCTTTGCTGTTAGACGTAGTTTATCATCTTACCCAGGATGTGGATGTTGTTTATTGTCTTACCCAGGACGTGCTATTAGTTCAACTATGATGTATAAACACATGAAATTGATGATAAAAGGATTTTTGACAACCCAGCTGCTTTGACTGATGAAAATATTCCCTCTGCTAAGTCCAAGCTGATATTTTTATATGAACATATGGCAACCTTTTAAATCGAGAAACATGTGCAATCCAGATTTCAGAGAAACATCACTAATCCTT